CACCACCGTCGGGTTCGCCTGCACGGCGGCCGCGACCGCCTTGTAGTCCTCGCCAGCCTCCAGCGCCAGAGAAATGGTCGACTCTACGACCCCGACCATCGAGCACGACGCCTCCCCGTCGCCTCGACCTTTGCCGGCAGAGGAATCGGCGTCCTTCGTCGACGGCGTCGACTTCGACGTCTGCTTCTCCTTGCGCGGCCTGTTGTCTCTACGTTGACGACCGCCGTCGGACTTCCCGCGGCCTCCCTTGTCATCTTCGTCGCTCTCTTCGCGGTCGGGGCACTCGTATGAGAGGTGGTCGGGGTCGCCGCAGATCCAGCACTCCCGCCGTAGACCACCACCTCCTCGGCCCTTGTCCCGCGTCGACCTCTTCTCGTCGACGACCTTCGTCGACCGCCCACCTCCGCTACCACCTCCGCCGGGCTTCCCGCGCTGCTCCTGCTGACGATTCGGCTTCATTGGTGCAGCGTAACTCGCCTGTGGAAGGAGCTCCGTGGGCTGCTCCGCCTCCTGCATAGCCTCGTCTTGAAGGATGTAGCTGGTGATGGAGTCCTCGTCGAGGGACTCACGCATGCCGGGCACCATCATCATCCTCTTCATGAGGTTGTAGCTGCGCAGCAGGCCCTTGACGACGTGGGTGATGTAAGACGCAGTAGAGTATTCGGTGCCCGCCATCCGCATCTCAGCCAGGATCCGTCGAGCACGGTTGCAGTAGTCCGTCGCCGACTCCTGCTCGCCCATCCGAATGTGTGTCATCCGCTCCTCCAGTTGCCCGATGTATAGGTCGTCCTTCGCCTGGTACGTCGACAAGATGAAGTGCCAGGCTTAGTGACCCGCGTCTAGTCGCTCTCGATAGGACCTGAGCGCTGTCAGAGGTCCACTGGTGATCCCCGTTTGATCCTAGGGAAGGGTTACAGGCACGGTTGCCTGGGGGGTTATGGGCGCACTGACCCGCTACTTAAACAAGCCCTTTTATCCCAGTGGTCTAGTGGCTGGGATTCTGAGATGGTATCAGAGCGAAGGTCTCGGGTTCGAATCCCGGTGTGAGCACTTCGGGCATCCCAGTGAGGGGGGGTGTCAGAGGTCCACTGGTGATCCTCGTTTGATCCTAGGGAAGGGTTACAGGCACGGTTGCCTGGGGGGTTATGGGCGCACTGACCCGCTACTTAAACAAGCCCTTTTATCCCAGTGGTCTAGTGGCTGGGATTCTGAGAAGCGCTAGCGGCACCACGGGCGAGCAGCACCTCGAGATGACCATGAAGGTGAGCAAGTGAGCAGCATGAAACTCCCCGCGCAGCTCGACATCGTCATCGGGCGGAATTGGCACGGTGCCGTGGGCAAAGCCCTTCAGCCCGGCGACCTCCAGCTGAGGTTCTATCGACTCCCTCCAGGTGATGAGGTCTCGTCGACCTTGCAGTGGTGTGACGGTGATTTGGTCCGGCGAAAACTTGAAGTAGCCATATGCAGGTGCGATCCCGCCCGCCGTCACGTGCGTCGTCGCCGAGAGCCCTCCACCGCTTCGTAGAGGAGAGCGGCGTCGACCATCGACTTCGACCAGCGAGCTGCCTGCGGCTGCCATCGACCGCTGCACTCGCGCCTGGCTCCGGTCGACGCGAGCGTCGACCTTGATCACCCCTCTCTTCATCGTGCCATCGCTGCCGCTCACTCGTGCACCGCCGTCGACCTCGTCATCGACGCCACCTTCGTTCAATACCGGTCGAGGAGAAGTAGGACAAGAAGGGTGCTCCTCGCCCACTGCGCTCGGATGCCCTACTCAGCGATCGTCAAAGGGATCGTCCCGTACTCGCCATCCGCGTGGCGTCTCCTCGCATCAGCCAATCGTGCCTCCAAGGTGTCCGCTACGCCCGCTTCTACAACGGGGTCGACCATGGCGACTAACGCGGCTGCCGGCCTACGAACGACTTAGTAGGTGCAAAAGTCTGCTCCTATCTGAAGGTCGCGTGTTCGATCCACGCTCACCGCACCATGCAGAGAGTCACTATACAACGGGAGTGGACCACGGAGGAAGGCACGGGGTTGTGTGGGTGATCATAGCGTTTGCACTAGGCGTTCTCACTACTTGCTATGTTTACAAAGGGATATGGCAAGAGTTTCACTAAGAAATTGAGAAAACATTAGATTACAATGAGGCATGCAAGTCGATTTTGCTTGAATGGCATTACAACACCTAGTAAGCCCTCTGTAAGACGAACTATGCCAGCGCAATAGAAAAGCAGCTTGCCAACGCTGCAGCAGAGCGGTCTGCCAGCGTGGTATAGCAGCGGTCTGCCAGCGCGGTATAGCAGCGGTCTGCCAGCGCCGCAGAGGCAGGTGAACTTCTGCGCAGGTGCGCACCTACCAAGTAGGTGGAGGTGGACGGACGCGCCGCCAGGCACATTGCGCAGGTGCCATGTAGAACACGTGCCGACGGTTTCGCCAGCGATGCACCGTCGAGCACGTGATGCCGTTCCGCAGGTTGGCTTCGCGAAAACCTCCTGGGCGACATTCGCCCACATGACGAATTTCGCAGTCGCGCGGCTTCCGTAGAGCAACTCGACGAATGCTTCGTCGAGCAGTTTTCGCCTAGACGAGCCCTCTGCAAGCCTCGTCGAGGAGCTCCTATACCGGCATTGAGGAGCTCCTATACCGCCTTCGTCGAGGAGCTCCTATACCGAACGGATCCCGTCGAACCGAGCTCATCGACAGACTCGTCGACCAGCGTCATCTGCGAGCCCGTCGACCGCGTCCTCTGCGAACGCGTCGAGGTCGAACTATACGCGCAGGTCGAAGTCGAACTCTGCGCGTAGTCTACGACAACTTCTGCGCGCCCCCCAACTGCGAAGTCCGCTTCGCCCAAGCGAGGGCGGGGCCAATTCCCGTCAACACGCGCAACTGGAGGAGCTTCGTAAAAGTTTTGCTTGGCTGACCGTTAATATGTTTTCCGCGACGATAATTGGCGGGTTTGGAACAATATAGCCAACCAGTATATAAAATATTTCTCGAGACCAATGGAAAATTACCCTCCCCCGTAAAGTGTTTTTTTTCGGGGCATTTGTCCCTGCTCAGAACTACTTGTGCTGTCTCTAGGTCCCCGATTCGAGCGGGAACCAGTCTCGCACCCAGTTTTCCTGGGAGGAGGGGATAGCAAGCACTACTAGTTCAGAGTTCTTTTGCGCTAGGTAGGCCGCACAGCACAGCACTGCACTGGCCATCTTCGGGAGAGAGTTCAAGGCCCCGAGCCTGATTCAAGGAATGCACCCCTGGAATGGAATCTTCTAAGGATCACTAGTAGAGGCCCTCACGAAGCATCATCTTGTGCTGTGTGGAAGGGTCCAACCAGTTGTGCGGCAACAGAACTGGGCTATTGTTTGGCACGCATGGCAGCATCCATCCACCCAGCCACCAACCTTCTTCACAGAGCTGAGGACGCAGTAAAAGTAGACGATCGATTGTCAGTCGCGATCCATGTCCGGATTGGTAACCCGATTTTCTTCGCTGTAACATTTCTACAGCTCGTTTTTTGCCAAAATTTTTGTTCAGTGTGCGAATGAGACTGATCATTGATCGCGGGAAATCTGTCAATTTTAAAGGGGCGATCGTTACAACGTCGCGGTTGCTACGTTTCGCCAATCGATCTGCCCACTCGATTGCGGGGCTCGATATTTGCAGATGATTCTGCGAAATTTGCGCTTGCACCGCGTCCTGATTGAAAAATTCTCAACCCATCCCAACAAATCACCTTGGAACCCTCGACACTTAGGAGCTCCAAAGTTTCATGAACATGCCCTTATCCGCAGCACTGCGGTATCACCTTGAGTTGGAAAACTGCCACGTTGTTCTCTTGCCTGAAGGTTCGGCTGCACTGTGCTTTGCATCTTCTTCAGCATTTAGATTGGCGACGCGAGACGCTTTTGGTCAGGAGGAACTAGACCACAAATATTAGGAACTGTAATACAACGATTTGTGATTCTGATACAATACCACTGTACAACCCCGATGTTATATTTCTCTTAATGAAAGCTGCGACCGAAACCACGGGATGCACGATTCGTTTTTTCTTTTCAGCCCGACAACTCCAGAAGAAGCTCCAGAATGTTGAGGGGTGGCAACTCCAGCATGTCGTGTCTGCTGCGATTGGCTGTTTTTGATGACCCAGTAAGAAACTTGCTGCGCAGTGCGACCCTCTTGTTCTGCCATGAAAGTTTTCATGCCCGTACAGTGTCCGGTTTGAAGTTCGGTCACAACCCTAGTAAATTTCCAAATGCGAAAGTCCATAAACCCTTGTATATTTGCAAATTCGACAGTGGAAATACACGTACCACGACCCCCAACATGTCTGGTATGTACACAATTCCAGAAACCTGATCTTGACCAGATCGGTCAACCCCGCAGCGCACCTCGTTCGGTATGGCCAAGGGTCTCACTCACCCACTGAAACGAGCCACCAACTCATCCAGCCTTGGCTGCGTTTGTGCCGCAGTTTTTCCCAACCAGGATTCCGCCAGCCGCTACGCCTGCGCACGAGTGAACTCCAGCCGCAGGCCTGAGCTGCGCTGGACGACCTGTTTGTTGGTCTTGGTTTCCGACCGAGCCACCCAAGCAGCACTTTTCCGCCCCACCGGGAGGGAGATGCGGCGGCAAAGGAATGCTGGAAGTGAACGCGAAGGGGGAGAGAGGCGGCAATGTTCAACAAAACAGGCGCTCAATACTGAAACCCTTGGTGATGATGGGGAAATCTCAGTGCATTGCCTCTTCGAGAGGTGCGGTTTCCAGTGTTTTGGCGACGTCCTACTCAGAGCACGTAGTCTGCACAGCTAGGCTTCTCATTTGCCTCGGTTGAACACTGATCAGTCACCTCTTCTTCACTTCTAACTTCTGCAGCATTCAGCGCTTGTTAAGATCGCCACCAGAATTCGACTCGTCTTTGCACCCGCAATCTTCAAAGGTATCCACCTCGCTCAAGGAATAACTTGGCGAAGGAGGACCGACTCGAGCACGAAATGGCGAAAGCAATTTGGAAGCGAGCAGGAAGGCAACGCATCGGGCTTGCCGAGGCTCCTCGCGACGGGGCAGCAGCGGACTCTGCCGCCGAGGCTCGTCGCGCTGGCGTGGCGGGAAGCGCGCCGGCGGCGGCAAATGTCGCTTCTACACTCACCCAAGGCGCGCAAGTAACAACATCGACGGACTTGGAATGTAACCCGCTGTCACTCGCGCCAGCATTCCCGGCAACCACAGCCGCGGAGGCGGCGGCGGCGTGGAATGCGGCTTCGGTGGAGGCGATGGCGGCGGCGACATGGGATGGTGGCAGCGGGACGTCGCAATCTGGTTCGCACGACGGCGCCGCCGGCAACAACAGCTACTACTACGACCGCGATGATGATGGCGGCGATAGCTCGATCACGGACGGCGATTCGGACTCGCCGCATGAGTCCATGGTGTCGAATGGCTCCATGCACGACGAGGACGATGATGACGATTTGCTACTGTCGGATGACGAGAAGGGTAGTAGCGGGGCTGGCAGGGGTTGCTTTAAGTCCGGTTGCATGCCGGCGACTCGTCGAACGGCGTCTGCGACGATCAAACTGCGTGAAAGGGTGCGTCGCACTGCCTCCGGAAAGCCAGTCGCTGCAAGTGGTCGTCATGGCGCCGCCGCAAAGTCGGGCGGAGGCGGCGCTGCGGCGCCGACGTCGGATCGCGAGCCGCTGGTGGCCTTGGAGAAGCGGCGGAAGAGCGGGCGGTCGGTGACGTTAATGCGACGGATTATTACCAGCGTGCGCAAAAGCGAGTACACCGTTGACTTGGAGGTGGAGAATGATGGCGATGCGGCGGAACTGCGGGGCCGCGACGGCGCGGCGCGCAGAGGGAAGCAGCGCCGTTTTCAGTTGAGTCCCGCGTGGAGGCCGCTGTTCGTCGTCGTGTGGACGGTTGTGACTCTAGCGGTGGCAGCTGGCGTGTTCGTGGCGACGTATAACTCGTTTGAGCACGAGCGACTGGTGAGGACGAGTATGTGGGTGCGCGCTGTTGCTTGCACGCATACACTCGTATACACGTGCACGTTCCTCTTTAGCGCGATGCCTAACTCCCTCGCTTTCCTTGCAATGTCGGTGCATGACAATCGACATGGCACGACGTGACATGGCATGGGATGGCGACACGTGGCGGCAGGAGGAGGTGGAGATGGAGTGCGAGGCGTGGCGCGTGCTACTGGAGGAGCATTTCATGGACACCACCAATCAGATCCGCCTGCTCGCCAATCTCGTCTCCACCTTCCACTTTCGAAAGCCCAAGGGCACGCTCGACCGGGTGAGCCAACTCACACGCACGCACGCTCCACTGGAGGAGCCTGTAAGCCCTTCTGTGCTTTTCCTCTTCCCCCCACCCATCCTTCCCCCTTTCCCCCCCCCCCCCCCCCCCCCCCCCCCTTTCCCTTTCTCCCCTTTCCCGTCCCGTCCGCCTCCTTCGCTCCCCCATTCGCGCGCTTTTACCCCCCATCCCTCACTCCCACCTCACTCCCCCGTTTGCCTGTTCCTTCCCCCTCTCTCCTCGCCCCCCCTTTTGCAGCGCACCTTCCTGTCGTTTCTGAACGAGACGACGTACGCGTGGCCGCACATCCACCACATCTCCTTTGCCATCCGCGTGCCGCACGCAGCGCGCGCGCGCTTCGAGCGCAGCCGCGGCCAAGGCTTCTGTATCAGGTAGCGTTCGGCCCTGTCTGGCGGGGGACGAAAAGGGGATGCGATACGAGGGGCTGGGCTGGTTTAATACGAAGATCCGCTTGGATGGATTGTGAGACGGGCCGCGATCTCTCTGTCCCGCGGCACTTGCCTTCCCTCTCTCCCGTACTTCCCTTCTCTCTCTCGCACTCACTCACTCATTTTCACCCCATCTCTCGACCTGCCCTTGCATCACCCTCGGCCCGAACTCCACTCATCGCCTCCCACGGTCACGTGGTGGGGTGCAGGGACGGCGCGGCGTGCGCGCCACAGAGCACCGAGTACGCGCCCATTATCTACACCACGTCCGCGCAGCTCCCCGCTGGTCAAGACCTCATGTTGTGTACGTCACTTGCTCTCCGCGCTCCCCCTCTTCCCTCGCTCTTCCGCCACAGACGCGCGCTGGAGTTGTTTCGCACCGCTTGCCGGCTTCTTTTCTATGCCGGCTTCGTTGAGTCGACTTACGAGTCATCCTCGTTATATGAGAGCGTCTGACGCTTTTTCCGCGCACCTGTCTCGTGTCGCCTTTTCCGCTCTTGTTCCGCCTCTCCTGTTCCCCCTCTCGTTCCTGCTCTTACCCCTCTTTCCGCCGCCTTCTCTCGCCCCTCGCGCCCACCACCCGCAGCTGCCGACGCGACGGGCATGAGCGCAGTGGAGCATGCGCGGGACAACGGCACCATGGGCGCGCTCACGGCGCCGCTGCGCCGCGGCAATCCCGACGCCACCGCGGACGAAGCGGCTGCGGCGGCGGCGGCGGAGGAGGCGGTGGAGCGCGAAAACCACTGGGTGGAAGCGTGGGGGAGCGCGGCGGACGGCACGGCGCTGGTCCGTGTGTACCCCGTGTACAAGGAGGGGCGCGCGCCGCCGGGGGAGGAGAGGGCGAACGTGACGGCTATGAGGAGCGCGTGTCGCGGATACATGTCCGCGCTTGTGGACTTCACATCACTTGTACAGGTGCGGATCTTAGAGGTGACGGTGGGCCTGCAGAGGCTTGGGGGAGGCGGGGGCGGGGAGGGGGAGTACAGGGGGGGACGAAGGGGAGGGAGAGTGATAGCTTTGGACCGGAATGGAGTAAGGGAGGGGATGAGAAAGAAAGAAAGGGATGAGCTGCGTGCTTCTTTGTTGCTGCTTGTCTACGATTTGACCTCGCAAGTGAAATTCATAGGGTGTTTGATTGCGTTTCCATCTCGTACAGCGTATTCCTTCCCTCTTTCCCCCCTCCCCTCTCCCCCCCTTCCCTCTCCCCTCTCCCTTCACTCACCGCTCTCATCCGCTCCCGCTCCCGCCATGGCAGTCCATGCACAAGGGCCATTCGCGCATGTTCGTGCGCATCTACGACGTCACGCGCACGCGCGCCACCCCAGGCAGCGCCGCTGACCCGCGGCGCTACCAGCGCACAGCCAACACCAGCAGCGGCCGCATCGCCACAGTCGAAACCAGCAGCCCCAGCAGCAGCAGCCCCAGCAACGCGTTTAGCTCGAGCAGCGGCGGCAGTGGGCACATGGAGGATCTGGAGGAGCTCATGTACGAGCCCGTGGATCACCGCCTCGCGCCCGGCGAAACGGATAACTACAACATTATTGCTGCGCTTGACCTGGGGGACCCGTCCCGGCAGCACGAGATGCGCTGCAGGTGCGGCGGGGGGCACGGTCCTGTTTCTGCGGCTTCCCTTGCAATGTTTCGCCTTTGCTGGAAGATCTCTTGACCGTGTTGACCATGTTGACCGCGTTGACCAATCTCAGTCAGTCCCCAGCTTCCATCACAACATCTCCTCCCTTCCCACCCCTTACTATGCCCCTTTCCATGCCCCTTTCCATGCCCCTTCCCATGCCCCTTTCCAATCCCCCACCCACCCCCCTCCATGCCCCACCAGGTACACCAGCGTCTACATCTTCCCTTTCACAAGCCGGCCTCTGAGTCGCCTCACAAGCCACACCCCCATACCCACCCCTCTCCCGCCCCACCAGGTACATTGACTTCTACGTCTTCCCGTTCGCGAGCCTGGGGTGGGCGTTGGTGATCGTGACAGTGATGTCCCTCGTGGGGTACATGTGGTGGGCGGCGGGCGGGCACATGCAGCGCCTGGAGCGTGACTTCCTGCGCATGCAGCTGCTCAAGAACAAGATGAAAGCCGCGCGCAACGTCGCCGAGCGCGCGAGCGTGGCCAAGGGCACCTTCCTGGCCACCATGTCGCATGAGCTGCGCACGCCCATGAATGGCGTGATTGGGATGCTCAACCTGCTGCTGGAGACGCCGCTCAACATCACGCAGCTGGACTATGTGGAGACGGCGCATACCAGTGGGCGCGCGCTGCTTGAGCTCATTAATGACATCCTCGACCTCTCCAAGATCGAGGTGCGCTGCTGCTCATGGTGGATCCATGGGGGATAGGCTGCTGCTCTTGCGACTCTTGCTGCTGCTCCTGATGCTGCTGCTGCTGCTCCTGCTGCTCCTGCTGCTCCTGCTGCTGCTGCTGCTGCTGCTGCTGCTGCTGCTGCTGCTGCTGCTGCTGCTGCTGCTGCTGCTGCTGCTGCTGCTGCTGCTGCTGCTGCTGCTGCTGCTGCTGCTGCTGCTGCTGCTGCTGCTGCTGCTGCTGCTGCTGCTGCTGCTGCTGCTGCTGCTGCTGCTGCTGCTGCTGCTGCTGCTGCTGCTGCTGCTGCTGCTGCTGCTGCTGCTGCTGCTGCTGCTGCTGCTGCTGCTGCTGCCTGCTGCTGCTGCTGCTGCTGCTGCTGCTGCTGCTGCTGCTGCTGCTGCTGCTGCTGCTGCTGCTGCTGCTGCTGCTGCTGCTGCTGCTGCTGCTGCTGCTGCTGCTGCTGCTGCTGCTGCTGCTGCTGCTGCTGCTGCTGCTGCTGCTGCTGCTGCTGCTGCTGCACCTCTCTTCGCTGCTGAGGTCCACCGTCGCTCAGGCTCTTCAAGTTCCCCACCCCCCTCCCATCCTCCCCCCCTTTTCTTTCTCTAGTCCCATCATCCGCAGTTGAGTGTCACCTGCCACTCCCCCCATCCCTCCCTGCCGCGCTCCCTCTCTCCGGGGCCATTGCCCCCCAGGCGAACAAGATGCCGTTGGAGCGCGTGCCCATGGACGTGCGCGCGCAGGTGGACACGGTGCTCACTATGTTCGTGGAGCGCTTCCGCGCCAAGCCCCTGCTCGAGGTCGCCGCCTACATCGACCCCTGGGTGCCGCCCGCCGTGCTCGGGGACTCCCTGCGCTTCCGCCAGGTGCGGGGGGGTGGGTTGGGGTGGGGTGGGGTGGGGTGGGGTGGGGTGGGGGGTGGGGTGGGTTGGGGTGTGTGTGGGAGTGCGTGGGTGCGATGCGCGCTACGAAATGGCATGTGCGTGGGTGCCATGAGCCGCTGATTCTCAAGCGTGCCTTCCGTGTGGTGGGGACTCGCACCATCTGCGCCATCCTTCTCCATGTGCTCCTGCTCTGCTACCCATCCTCGCCAAACTGCATGTGCCTCATCACTACATCTCACCTCTCATCTCCCCCCCTGCCTCCTCACCACCCGTCCCTCCACCCTCTCTTCCCTCCCCTCCCCTCCTTCCCTCCCCTCCCCTCCTTCCCTCCCCTCCCCTCCTTCCCTCCCCTCCCCCCGCCCTCCCCCCCCCCACCCCCACATTGCCACACAGGTGCTGGTGAACCTGCTATCGAACGCGATCAAGTTCACGGAGAAGGGCCACATCTTCATAGCCGTGCGCACCGCCCTGCCCTCCGAGGACCTCAAGCGTGACTTCCGCACGCGCCACCCCTCGCACTCGCACTCCCACGCACGCACCCCCGCACACAGGCAGGGGCAGGGGGGGGACGGAGAGGGTGCGAGGGGCGGCGTGGGCATGGGCGAGAGGGCGGGCATGACTGGGCGCAGCAGCTGGACTAGCCAGGGCAGCATGGGGGGGTGCAGCAGCAGAGGTGGTGGGAGCAGGGAGGCGCAGTGGGCGACACTGAGTGGGATGGAGGCAGTACGGAGCTGCAACAGCTGGGATGTGCTGGCCAGCCGCCAGCAGCAGTGGAGGGAGGGTGGGGGGGAAGGGGAGTGCGGAGTGAGTGAGGAGGGGACGGGGGAGGAGCAACCGGGGGTGAAGGGAGAGAAGGAGGGTGCGGGGAAGGAGTGCGTGATTGATGTGGGTGGCGATGGTGCAGCTGCTGATGCTGCGACTGCTGGGAGTGTCGATGGCGAGCCTGTGTTGAGCGGGCCCACCGTGCGACTGGTGATCACCGTGGAGGTCAGTGGTGGGGTTCGGTGCTTGGCGTGGAGTGTGGAGGGCATTGGAGAGGGGGGTTGGGGTGCATAGGGGGTTGAGGGGAGGGGAGGGAGTGGGAGTGGGGTAGAAGGGGGGTGGGAGTGTCTGTTTTGATTTCACTCTTCTTGCACGTGTCCTGTCTGCACTCAAGTAAACTTCCCCCCCCCTCCCCCCCCACCCCCACCCGTCTCCCCCCCCCTCCGTCCCCCCGCACAGGACACGGGCGAGGGCATCCCCAAGGCAGCGCAGAAGAGCATCCTGAAGCCGTTCACGCAGGCGGACGCGAGCACGACGCGCACGCATGGCGGCACGGGCATCGGGCTGTCCATCAGCCGCCACCTCGTGGCGCTCATGGGCGGCAAGCTCGCCTTCTCCTCGCGCCCCGGCGTCGGCACCACCTTCTATTTTGACATTCTCGTGCCGCTCGTGGTGGATTCCTCACAGCAGCAGCCACAGCAGGGAGGGGAGCCCATGGGGATTGTGGGTCCCGTAAGTCCCGTGGCTGCCATGGGTGTGCTTGGTGCAAGGCCTACCTCTGCCTGCGCACATGGAATGCCAGGAGTGGCATCAGCTGCAGCAGCAGGTGCAGTGGAGGCAATGCCCTCACTCGCAGCGCAACCGCGCCGCCTTCCACAGCGCCACACCTCCTCCCCAACGCACCACCTCTCGCTCCTCCCTCTTGAAGACGCCTTGGCATCCCCACGCCTCTCCTCCCCTTGCCGCGCGCGCGTCTCCACCTCGCTCAACACCTCTCCGCGCCTGCTGCCCCCCTCGTCCTCCTCGCCTTGCAAGCCCTCCGCTGCGCGCCATTATCGCAACCCGTCCCTTCAGCTGCTGCATGCGCCACTGAAGGAGCTCCAAGGCATGCAGGCAGCGCAGCTGCGCTTGCTGCAGTCCACGCCCGTGCACAGACTCACGGCGTCGCCCATTCACATGGTGCCCATGTCCCCTTTGCCTCTCCTGCAGCATGCCGAGGCTAGCTTGACTCACTTTGACGCTCTCCTGCTTGACGACAAGCCCGTGAGGTTCGGCGTCACGGAGAGCCTGCTCGGCAGGCTCGGTATCCCGGTTCGGAACGCGCCTCTGCCTCGGGACCTTCAGTGTCTGTTCTCGAGTGCAAGCAGTACACATGCACCCGTATCACAGCTCCAGGGTTTACGGCCTGTGATAGTGGTGGTGGAAGGGGAGTGGCTGGGGCGACTGAAGGAGGCACGGAAGGCAGGCGAGGAGGGCGGTGCGAGCGGAGATGAGGATTCAGGAGGGAGAGATTCGCCTTGCACTCCCCGCATGGGGGTACCTCTGCATCCGCAGCAGCGGCAGCGCGAGAGGAGAGAGGGCGACGGTGGCAACAGCAGAGGAGCGCTGTCGTGGCAGCAGGTGGCGGCGAGGCTGTTTCACGAGTCAGCTCTCTCTCCTGCTGCTTCCCACTGCACCTACATGTACATGGAGAAGCAGCAGCAGCAGCTCCAGCAGCAACAGTCACCATGGTTCGCGTCGGTTCTTCTGGAGTGTGGGGCGATGGGGGAGAGCAGCAACCGGGCAGATGGGGGCAGGGCGGCGAGCAGAGCAGCGGCGGAGGAGGGGGGGCCGGCATTCCACGGCACGGTGTGCAAGCCAGTGCGCTTCTCTGCGCTCTCTGCTTGCCTCTCCCAGCTGCTGCTGGGTGCGACGGCGAACCAAGACAGTGGTGACGGGGAGGAGGAGGAAGAGGGGGACGAGGCCGCGGAGGAGGGTACGGGGTTTGTGGTGAGCCTGCAAGGGGGAAAAGCATGGAATGGTGGCAGTGCTGGTGCTCGTGGTGGTGATGATGATGGTGATGGATGCAGCAAGGGGCGGCGGTCTGAGGGTGACTCTGGTGTCATTCAATTGAACAAGGAACTGTGCGGCAGGGGCCGGGAATCAGGGAGTTTCAGGCAGGCGAGTGAAGGCGGCGCGAGTGGGTTGGGTGGCAAGCAGGCCGTGGGAGGCAGTGCGGCGGGCAGGGGCGGTGTGCAGGTGAAGAAGGGGAAGCAGAGCAAGACGGCGCAGCTGCTGTGTGAGAAGCTGGGTGGACGACGCTTCCTCGTGGTGAGCTTCACATCTGCACACCCTCCACACACTCCACACCACCGACACACACAATCTTTCTGTTCCCGCCCAGATTGACCATCCTTGTCCCTCCCTCTCTTCTCACTCTCTCCCTTCCTTTCCCCACTTTTCCCCAGTCCCAACCAACCCCATCCCCTCCCTTCCCCACCTCCCCCTCAGGTGGTGACAACATGGTGATGCCCAAGATGCTGCAGCGCAGCTCTTCCCTCACACCTTCCTCCCTTGGCTGCATGCACAAGTTCCCCATACACCCTCATGCTCTGCCTCTCTCTTTTCCTCCCCCCAGGTGGATGACAACATGGTGAACCGCAAGGTGATGTCCAAGATGCTTGAGCGCTACGACGTGCACGTGGAGGCCGTGGATGGTGGCGCCAAGGCCATCGCCGCTGTCGCTCGCTCCGATACTGCCGCCACTCCGTACGACTGTGTCTTCATGGACTTGCAGGTGAGGCCCCTGTACGTGCCCGTGCTTGACTGCTTCACCCGCTCCACTGCAGCCCTTCGTACGACTGCTGTGTCTTCATGGACCTGCAGGTGAGGCCACTGTCTGCTGCCATGCATGCTCACATGTGCATGCCCATTGTCATGCTGCGTTGAAATTGACACGCCTCAGGAACACGCCTGTAGCTGCTGTGCCGTGCGATAGTTTCTTGGCTTATCCTTCGGCTTGTTCTGTGGCTTCTGTTCGTTCGACTACAGATTGTGGTCTCCTTGACTCCTGCGTGGCTCGTCCCTTCCGTGCCCATAGATCTTGCATTTGTTCATACCTTTGTTCCTTTCGTCTCTCCCTGGTGTGCATCGCTGCTTGCTCTATCTAATGTCCAGATGCCGGGAATGGATGGGCTGGAGGCCACAGGGCTCATTCGCAAGTATGAAGCGGAGCAGCAAGCCAAGGCGGCTACTTCACAGCAGGACGCAGCAGCCGCAGGTGCAAAGCGGCGGCTGCTGGTGATCGCACTGACTGCAGATGTGGGTGCAGGTACCAAGGAGAAGTGTGTCGGTGCGGGAATGGATGGGTACATGACCAAGCCTATTGAGGAGGACCAGCTGTCGCGTACGCTGTTGCCATTCTTTGATGGTTTGAAATAATTCATTGTGTGATTTTATCGGATTTGATTTGTTGTGTAATTTGATTTGTAGTGTTGGCTTAGGTATTTCCAATTGAGTCTTAAGGTGTGCTCCTACTGTCCCTTATCAAGCTACGGTAACCCCTTGGCAGACTCAGTCCCAGGGCCTCAGATTCGTTTAAGGGTCCTCAGATATCAGGAAAAAAACCCTGAACTTAATAATTTTTGCAGTCCTTTTTTAACCTACACTGATTTTTCAGCCTTTTTTGTTGGGCCACTCTGAAATTCCAGGCTTTTTTTCCCAAGTACAATGATTCAACAGCGTTGTAATGAAACTAACACTGAAAGCGATTCTTACCTGTGCCGCATGGATAAGACCGCAATTACAGGGAATCACAGATTCCCTAGGTGCAAGCACCGCGTGGCGGGGCCAACATGACTAGTGCAGCCTCGTGAATCAAGTTCAGAGGGGTGTTGTTGGCGCGGCGCCTCACACCAATGGGCTGTTAAAGTGGGAAGACATGAATGATGAATGACTCGCAACAGGGGGATACATACCGTCATCGCCCGGATATAAGACATATATGTCTTATCTCATACACTAAAAAAAATGCTTGGGTTATCTTGTATTTGGGAAGGTTTTGGGTGTCTTATAAGTCTTATAAATGTAACATTTTTTAAACTACTTAGAAATATTTTCACACATCTGGAAAAGAGTGTTGAGATAAGAACTTAGGAGATTAGGAGCTTGGAGGGAGAAAAGCATGGTGAGATGGTTATCGAGGGAGTTTAGGTTGGCCAAAAGAGGGCTTGAATAAGGGAGGGCATACAAAGATATAGGCAAGGAGAAGACAAAGGGTACACCACCAGCAATAGGTGTAAGAATGTTATTATCTAGCCTGTTCTGGGGTGCTCTATAGCGAGTACAACCCTGTTACGGTTTGCTATATGTATCCCAACTGCTGCTAGTGAAACCCCTCCTTTGTTCTTTTCTCTCTTGCCTAGCTAGCTAAACCCTAGCCATGGCTCCTCACTCTACCTACGATTCTCACATGCTATCAGAGCATCTACGCTCCTGGCCTGTGGGCCCACCTAACTGCTTCCGCTGCTACTTTGTCTGTTGCACGCCCCGTGGCGTGCGACTCCTCCTTCCTGCCGTGCGCTCGGGGTGTGCGGCGGCGGTTTCCTTCCTTGGGGACCCGCGCGCGGCCCCTGCCCTGCTCGTCGCGGCGCCCTGGGGAGCACGCGCGGCCCCCGCCCTGCTCGTCGTGGCGCCCGGGGGAGCACGCGCAGCCCCCGCCCCTCACGTCGCGGCGCCCTGGGGAGCCGCGCGCGGCCCCTCGCTGCCCCGTGGTGGCGCCCTGGGGGCCGCGCGCCACCTCTGGAGCCGCGCGCGGCCCCTCGCTGCCCCGTGGTGGCGCCCTGGGGGCCGCGCGCCGTCCCCCTCGCCGTCCCCCGCGCTCCTACCCCGTGCCACCCGTTTTAGGCTTTGGGGGTGGGGAGTGTGGGGGTGCGTTATAGTCACAGTAGGCTCCAATGTGCCTAAAACGAAAGATAGAGTGCACAGTCGGATTTCTGCACAGCGGCTTCAAACGTTCATAGCGTTCTAGTCACAGCTTCAAATGACTTGATTCAACTTGGATCTGGAGCGTCTTATTGTTGCCTACACTAGACAATTTAGATCGCACGATTTGACCAAGTATTGACGACACAGCGTTGGTTTGAACGAACGGCACTATGGCAGCCACTATAGTCTTAGAACACAAGATAGGAAGAGTTAGGGAGAGTTACGAGTTGGGAATGACTCCCAGCTCCTACAAACCCCAAGAGCCGAGGTAGAGTGATGTGGAACAGTGCCACACTGTCCCCAACCATGAAGGGTCTCGAAACTACCCTTCACTAGGGCCTACACCAAGTGAAATGTTACACTACACAAAGTAATGTAACTATCTTCAATATCTTGGGGTGTACCCTTTTTTTCGCGGGCTTCGCGATTACTTGAATGTTGACACCAGGGCTCGGGTTCTTCATAACAAACTCATCCTTGAGTTCTTGATGGGTCTGCTGCACACACCTGCGACACGCCGAACGTTCGACAAGCGACAAAATAGAAACCGCGCACGACAAAATAGAAACCACGCGGGACACACAAAACGACCACGTTACACGCGACTAGCGATAATTCGCTATTGACTGGACACACACACTTGACATCATGACCCATCATTCACACACTGTTATAAGCATGAAATATATATTATCCCATGCCCTCATACCATTTCATACACACACACACACATGCACGCACACGGACAACAAGCCGAGTGCAAACCGTAGGGTTGCACCAACAAACTCCCCCTCGGATTGTTGGCCTTAGGATATGTTGCTCTCTCAGTTCAGAGCCATCCCAGCTAGCTTGCAACACTTCCAATGCTGCTGCTCCACCAGCCTCTTAGTCATCATGTCAGCCGGCTGCCCCGTGGTCTTCACGTACCGCAACTCAACTTCACCCGCGGTCACCATGCTCCTCGTCCAATGCCACTTCACCCTCATGTGCTTTGTGAGTCCATGCAACACAGGGTTCTTAGCAAGAGCAATGGCACCCTGGCTGTCACAGTAGAGTGGGGTAGGTCCTTGCTGCTCCTCCCCCAATTCAGCCAACAAACGCCGCTGCCACACAATCTCCCGTACGGCACGGAAGAGTGCCATGTACTCGAACACCACCGAGCTCAAAGCTTGGTCAACCTGCTTCTTGCTCTCCCAAGCAGTTGGGCCTCCACCAACACAGCATATGAAGCCTCCCACACTTGTCATGTCCTCTGGTTTCGATGCATATGACGCATCCGAGTAGGCGGTGAGGAACAAACGCCCAGGTTCAACACCATCCGCGCCCTTTTGGCGCCTTTGTGCCGCCGCCGTATATTGCAGCCCAACGGTCGGTGTTTGGCCAAGATACTTGGCCACCCTCATTCCAGCTGCTACCTGCTCCTCATTAGGGCATTGCACAACCCTAGCCAGCTGCCCGGTAGCAAACGCGACGTCCGGTCGGGTGTTTACCGCCGCATACATGAGGCTGCCCACCAACGAGTGAAAACGGCGCCTCTCCTCTTCTCCAACGCTCTCCTCCTCTGGCCCCTTCACACACTTGAACCCAGAGGGAAAGGGAGTAGCCACATGACCTTCACTCTGGCCGAAGTTGGCGGCCAACGCCTCCAGGTACTTCCGTTGGTGCACTCGCATGCTCCGCTTCTCCAAGTCTCGTTCGATGTGGAGCCCAAGGTAGAAGTTCACGTCACCAAGGGACTTGCACTTGAACTTTTCTTGCAGCTTCAGCATCACCTCCTTCACAAGGTCTGAAGAGGGTGAGAAGATGAGGATGTCATCCACGTACACCACCATGAAGCTCCTCTCCTCCCCCTCGCCAAGCATGAACAAGGAGTGATCGGCCGTTGAGGGAGTGAAGCCGATCCCCTCCAACACTTCGCGCAGCTTCATGTACCATTGCCTAGGGGCCTGCTTCAGCCCATAGAGGGCCTTCTTCAGCTTCCACACTCTGCCACTACCATCATCAAACCCCTCTGGCTGCGCCATAAAAATCTCCTCCTCAAGGATGCCGTTAAGGAATGCCGTTACGATGTCCATTTGTTTTACTACCCATCCTTTGATGGCGGCTCCCGCGAATAGGGTTCGCAGCGTCGTCGGCTTCACCACAGAGGCAAACAGCTCCTTGAAGTCCACCTTCCCCTTCTACTGGTACCCCTTGGCTACAAGCCTAGACTTGTAGCGCTCGATCTTGCCGTCGGCATCCGACTTGATTTTGAAGAGCCACTTGGACGTTATCGCCGTACGCCCCTCCGGTAGCTCCACCAATTCAAACGTGTCATTCTCCTCGATGCTCTTCAGCTCACTCTCCATGGCCTTCTTCCACTCCTCAGCATCACTACTCTCCAAAGCCTCCTTGAGAGTTGCTGGTTCTCCCGGCATCTCCACCGGAGAGAAGAACGCGAAGGCACACTCCTCGTAGTCACTCTCCTCGTCATCTCCGACCATCATTGCCGCTCCGGCCAGGGCTGTCTTGCCCTGCTTTCCCGGCGCATCATAGGTCAGCCTATTAGGGGGTTGAACTCTCCTCTTCCCCCTTCCTTCCTCCTCAGCTGCAGGGACTTGAAGGCCTTGGCGTTGCTGCGGTGTGGCTCGAATCCATGGAGCACTAGTAGTACGGGAAGGGAGTGTCGGTGCACGCTCGCTCACTTGCTGCACCTCCTCCTCTTCTTCCTCTGCATCATTGGCCTCCTCTCCCCCATTCACAAGGGAGGATTGCCTCGTGGTTGTGCTGCCGCTGCTCAGCTCCAAAGGCAGCTCCACATGCTCCAAGCCGGAACTCTTCACCTCCCCAAACCGCACGCCTATTTTCGCCTCGTTCTCCGCCTTCCAATCTTTGTACATGAAGTTCTCCATGAACTTGCAGTCCCTGCTCACCAAGAACTTCTTGGTGAATGGGTCCCAAAGAAGCCATCCCTTGCTGTTTTGAGCCATGCCCAAGTGCACGGCCCACACCGCCTTGGCACCAAGCTTGTTGTGCCGAAGATGCTTAGGCACGAGCGCCATGCACATGCACCCGAACACCCGAAGCATATCCACCTTTGGCTTCCTTCCTAGCCACTCCACATAGGGCACCCATTTGTCTGCTCCCACATGAGTCAAGGCTCTGTTCTTGGCCACACACGCGCTCCGCACCGCATCAGGCCAGAAATAGTCGGGTAGCCCGGCTTCAATGAGCAACCCGCGTGCCGCCTCCGTGATTGTGCGGTTCGCTCGCTCGGCGATGCCGTTCATTGCAGGGGAGTATGGCATGGTGAGGGAGTGCCGAATACCATTCTTCTTCAGCCACAACCCAAACTCCTTGCTCAGGAACTCTCCCCCTCGATCGGTGCGGATTGACTTGACTAGACGGTCTTGTTGCCGCTCCACCATCGGGAACCAATCCGCCTTCAACGTTTCAGCCACGTCGCTCTTCTTGGC